GAGGAAGACCCTCCGGGCAAGGCACATTCTGAGACACGACGCAATCCCAGCCAATCCGGGAACCCGGGAAACACTAAAGAGCTAAGTCAAGAAGAAAAGAGAAAAGTCTCCAGGAAGATCCAAGAAGCAAACAAAAACCGTTACACAAACGGAAACCAGAGCACCCGATTTAGCCACCGAATGAGGTGTTTACGTGGATGCGATCAAGGAGTCAAGGCTTGACGTCGGTCACGTTTTAGAAGCGGCCGACACACAAAGCCCGGGGCTCTGCCACAGGCAGGGAACGGAGGGCTGCCGTAAAAGTCAACGTTGCAGAGCTACGAAACCATAGATGTGACTGATTCCTGATGAAAGCAGAAGCAAAAACATACAGCTGTTGTTTCAATCTGCAAAGGCTACGAAGCACAGAAAACCCTAAACCGGGACATAACGCGAGGGCCGTGGGGAGACGGCCGGGGGCGGGGGGTGGTGGTGGTGGTTGGTGGTCCACCTCCTGCTGGCGTTCTTTAGAACTCACTCATGCACGCAGCAAACGGGGCTTAGAGCTACCACGCGTCTTTGCCACCAAAACTCAACATAATTTCTCCACTTCTTTAAATAGAAGTGACGGCAGCTCTGTTTTGGTTTGTATGATAGCAGAAAGCCCACAGATAACCTCGAATCTGTGAATCAAGCAGTGCCAGCGCAAGCATACCGTCTGCATCGACAGAGATGCTCGCTGGAGGTACCAGAAGGCCACGGGCGCAAGGTCCTGGCCGGGAGGTGTGGCGCCAGGCTCGGTGCCCCCACCTCTGGCCTCTGGACTGTCTGGTCTTTCAAGTCCTGCCATATGCTAATCTGGCAATCCTAAAAATACTTCTCGTGAAGAGACGTTGAAAGGAGAGGGGTTTGAAGACTTTCTCTGACTTTCAAGTCACAAAGCAACGTGACCCAATGACACGCGCGGAAGATGCCTGAGTGACGGAGGGTGCATCCTCCCGGCTGCGACCAGCCTCCGGCTCTGAGCCGTACTGGTGCTGTGCTCTCCCGGGAGGTGCCGCCCCCTGCACCTGCCGCACTCCTCGGCGGGGGGGGGGGTCTCCCGGTCCTGCCACGAGATGGGGCCACGGCCAGCGTGAGAGCCGACGACCGCCCTCCCCCACCATGCGTGCCCTCCCCCCGGCACCACTGCGTGCACCGCCGAGGCGCCCCGGCCCGAGCTGCCATCTCCCTGCCTTCTGTGCGATCGTCTGACCCTCTGCCTTTTCAACACTGGCACAAACCACTTTACCTGCAACATCTCTTAGCTCACACATCACCATCTACCCACTAAAACGCCTGCTGCGTGCTTCTGTAAGTTGACGGCACTTGACCCACGGAAGAGAAGGTAAGAATTTCTCAGAAGAATAAAGCGAAGCGTCTACAGAGGACTTCTGTTTGTCCAGCATCCGATGAAACGGCTAAAACAAACATTAAGATATGAGGTGGGAGCCAATTTTATCATTTTACTTTCTGCTGTTTATGCGAGAGGCCAGCTGGACAGCGGCCAGCCGTAGTAGGTGTGGCGGCAACACACGAGGCTCAGCACGCGGTCGTTAGAGGAGAGAATACACATAAGAGAGCTGATCGCAAGACACGCGGCGCGACTTGGTGCTGCCACGGATCCAGCACCTCAGACAGCGTATTTCTCATTTGCTCTCCCCCGGGAGGAGTGAGTCAATTAAACACTTTTTCCCCCAAAAAAGATGCGTGGAAATCTTTTTTGTCGCGCTCAACCAGATGAACGGTTTCTGAGGCTGCGTGAGCCGTGGCGACACGCAGAGAACACGACGGAACTGGCAGAGGGGACTCGCACGGTGAGGCGAGGTCCGCGCCCAGGCTGCGCCCGCCATGCCGCGATGGGCTGAGGCCGGCGGTCCGTCCCTCCTTAACCACCCTGAAGCTCGTGAGTTGGGATAAAAATCGGGCAGCATTCTCTGGCATTTTTACTTACATATGTTAAATGTAAAAAGAAAACCTTTTATTGCCATATTCATTACCTGACGAGACTTTAGCGCTCACGGGAGAAGCCGTCCCTTGGGTAGACGTGGGTGAAAGGCCTAAACACAAGGTAACGATCAGACAACACGAGACGCGGTCTCCCCCGCTCTTATCGCAGAATGCAAGTTCAGGACTTGAGGGGCGGGATTCTACCTTCGAGGTCAAAGGGCACCGCATTTACCAGTCTCTCTTATGCGATGCCCTGCACAGGGACTCGATTTATAAATGTAAAATATTCAAGTGTGTGACATGTTCATTTTAAATCCTACCACGCAGAATTTCAGATGTTACTGCTGATTATTTCTGCCACATCCTCTGATGAAGCACGAAAAGCACAACAATACATTAAAATTGAATCGACCCAAAAAGGCTGGAGGAAACATGTACTCAGGACCATTTTTGCTCCGGAACTGAGAATTTCCTGCACCGCAACCAATCAGAATTCATGACCCCCTCGAGGCTGCAGAATATTCTATTCCTACACTCGCATGCAAGCCACGGGATGAAGGTCTCTTAATTGAAAATGCCTCCACGATTTCCCTTCAGAATTCGCTGTTTGGTTCCAACATCAAATATTAACTAAAACAACCAAGTGAAATGTCTGCTCGTGAGCAGAGCGCTGTACTGGCTCTCCCAGCTCCTCTGCGCGTACACACACACACACACACACACACACACGTGCGCACACACACGCACACGTGCGCACACACACACGCACACGTGCGCACAAACACATGCACACACACACACGCGCGCACAAACACAGCATGCACACACGCGCGCACACAAACACAACATGCACACTGTGCACACACACAAACACAATATGCACACATGTGCACACACACAGCCATGCA